TATTAAGGATATAGAGATCGAGTTAAAACTGAGTTAAAAAAAGTGTTGGTTTGTGTCAGACCGGGACAAGATCTTTAAGAGTAAATTTTGGAAAGATTTTTTCAAAATACACGGGACCGAGTTGGCAATTACCTCGACTTACCACCATCATACGAATGACCAAATTGAGGTAACTACTCGTACTCTGGAACAGTACCTCAGGATGTTATGTTCATCCGTTTTCTAAAAAAATGGAGAAATTTATACCGTGGGTTGAATTTGGTACAACATGACCTTTCATGAATCAATTAAGTTCACACCTTTTGGGTTAGTTTATGGTCGGTCGGTTATCGTTCTTGCTAGCTACTCGCTGAAAAATATCTAAGTGATGAGGTTGACCGAAAACTAATAGAACGAGACTTGATGATCCAAGAATTTAAAAACATATACGGGTTGGTAAATTTCATGAAAGCACATTGTGACGAGGGGAGACAACAAGAGCAATTTGAGTTGGATGATTGGTTTACTTGACGTTACGTTGGTATCGCCAATAGACGGTTATGCAAAAAGCCTGGTATAAGTTCGGTAGTCATTTTTATAGGCCTTATCAAGTCATGGAATGCTTGGGCAAGGTAGCGTATAGGCTTGATTTGTCGCCGGAATCTCAAATCCATCCAGTCATCCATGTTTTTCAATTAAAGAAGAGCCTTGTTTCCAATTAAAGAAGAGCATAGGTGATGCCCATGAAGCCTGGACTCGGTTAACGGCGATGGGTCGAGAGAAACAACCCATTATGCGGCCTAGCCAGGCATTAGACTATCGAAGAGTGAAGAGGGTCAGACGCTTCCGTTAGGAGGTTTTGATTGAGTGGGAGAAGTTGTCAGAGGAGGAAACAACTTGGAAGAGCGTGCGTGATATTCCCAATCAGTTCTCAAATTTTATCCTTGAGGACAAGGACTTGTTTGAAAGGGATGGAAATGATGAGAATGCAGGACGAATATTCAAGAACACGCTAAGATGAATAAACTTGCTAAGATGCCTAATGTACGTGCTGCAATATGATGAGAAGCTTATAGCAGGGCCCGTCGTGCTTGTATTAGAAAGATAGTTCAATCCTGCTCAAGCGCACAAGGATGACGAACATGCACGTAGGCCGTTGCACCCTCCACTCGCACCGCGACACCCGTCACGACCCAGGAACAGGTTGTCCGGCCCCGCTTGCGCCGCGACACACGTCGAGACCCAACTAAGGCTTCATCCGCTTGAAGCCTCGAGTCTTCAGGGACTCGTTTGTAAATTTCCTATATCGTCTAGTTCGCTTTGTTAATTTGTGATTCCTAGTACCATAGTTGCAATTCTATGGAGTTTTTCTTTCTTTAAAACTCATTTATTCATCTTTTGAGTAGGCTTAAGTAATAAGATATCAATAACCGCTCGCGTTCGATTCCAATATCTTGTGTTTAACCGACATCCGCCAGTACGGGTATCACAACTCGAATCATTCAATACACAGTCTTCATCAGCCCTCACGACGCTATACAGGCCTTGAAGCCAATCTAAAAGCAATAAGACATTTCATGAAGTGCATAGTGTATCACTTGATTATAAGCTTGTTTTGGTATTACTTATTAATTAGAAAAAAAATCTCAAATGTATGATTGCGTATGATTTTTTTTAAGAACAAGAACACTCAATCTCTTTTAAAGGGGTGTATTTAATTGGGTTTTATAAAGACTTTTAAAAACTTTTTAGGACTTTAAAAATTTGGGTGTATTTAATTTAGACTTCTCAAGACTTTTAAAAGTCTCGAGGTATCCAATTAGAATTTTAAAAAGTCTTACAAAATCCTGGGGTATTTAACTTATTTGAAACTAGGATTTATAAGGACTTTTTAAGATTTGATGGTATTTCTAAAGAAAAAAACATATACAAAATCCCACTACAAATCTCATATCTAAACTTGGTATTTCACAGGATTCCTCCAAAATCTGAAAATCTCAAAAAAAATCTTTAAGGGTATGTTTGGTAAAACTAGCTGATAAGTTAACTGATAGTTGATAAGCTAGCTTATAGCTTATCAACAACTTTCGAACTTATAGCTTATAGCTTATAACTTATAGCTGAAAAGCTAGCTTATATGATAAAAGTGTTTGATAAAATTAGCTGATAAGCTAGCTGGAATAAAAAAAATCAACTAGCTTATTTGAAAAGCTACCTAAAGAACCTTATCAAATAAGCTCGAGCTTTTTAAATAAGTTCGTCCTACCAAACAGAGTTTATTTAAATACAGGGATCTTATAAGCTAATCAAATAAACTATAAGCTAGCTTATTAGTTTACCAAACATAGCCTAAATCTTAAATTTTTTTGAATGTTACTCAAATCCGAAACGAATACACTTATTTTTCTTTTATGGTCTTATCAAATATCTTTTTAATTAAATAAAAGTTATTAATCACTTCACAATTGAGTTCAATTACATGTTTCACAATCTATCATCTTTCATATTTTAAAATTTAAACTATTAATTGTCTTTAATCAATATATTATATTTATTTTGATCATTGTAAAGAAAAGTCAATCCCAACCCAACTCCAAGAAACAAATTTATACTAATATCTTTGTTAATTTACCCACCAAAAGAAAATTGCAATTTTTTCTATAAACTGAGATGTAGTGAGGCCGGCGAGGTCAACCACCTAAATGGTTAAATTTAGTTAAATTAGAGACTACGTAGTCTTCTACTAACGTCCGCCAAAAGTATGGTAGTTGGCACATTGTTTTCTGTAATTTTCAACACCTAGCTTATTATTGGTCCTCGGAATTTGGAGTGACGTCGTAGTTTGCAAATTTATACTATATGGTACTACTATTAATCAATTTGATTTTGAGGGCTAATTAACAATGTCTCCTTATATATTGATTCAAAACTACTGTTGTTAAATTAAACGAGTCTGGCTCGGCTCGGCTCGGCTCGAGCTCGACTCGTTAAGGTTCGGTTCGGCTCGAGTTTGATGCCTTGACGAGCCGAGCTCGAGCTCATTTAAAGCTCATTTGGTTAACGAGTCGAGCTCGGTTCGGCTCGTTAAGGCTCGAAAAGTGAAATTTATATAATTTTTTTATAGTTTGACTCGTTAAAACTCGAGGCCGACGGCCTTAGCGAGCCGAGCTCGAGCTCGATTTTTGGCTCGTTTACTTAACGAACCGAGCTCGGCTCGGCTCGTTTACAGCCTTATTCAAAACGTATTGATCAACTTAAGTGGCAGAATTAGAGGGGGCACTAGCAAGATCTTAAGTCGCAGAATTAGAGAGAGCTCGAGCTCGGCTCGGCTTTTCTCGTTATCATATTGTTGACCTAAAAATCTGCTTTAGCGTTGGATGACTGACACGTGGACGGCGAGAAAGTGAAGGGGGTACGCCCAAAGGTGCCGAGAAAACGTAGCCCGACCTGTGGTGGCCGACCTCATTTAGGAAGCCGACCTTGTCTGGAAGCCGACCTCCTACACGAGGCAACCTCGGGTGCAGGCCGACGTCGGAGCGGACAAGCAGCATTTAATGCGGGTACCATCGACTGTTCAGAGCCCATGTGGAGACATCATTGCGCGAGGGGGCCCCACAGACAGAAAAAGCTGCGCAGATGTCATTCCTCATTAAATGCCGCCGAATCTCCTCAAAAGATGAGCCCCCAGTTACTATAAATAGCAGCAATAAAGGCAATACGAGGATCTTTTTCCGGACACATAAATTCTGCATTAATCACCCCGGCGATTGCCAATTTTAGCATTATTGTACAAGAAAAACCGACCTCAAGTCCGCGAAATACCGACTTGATATCTTCCTAGATAATTCTCAGTTGTTCAATAAAATCGTCTCATCACGCTATTAATCTAATAAATATAAATATAAATAAGTTGATCAAATCCGTTTATCAACACATATATTTCTTAATTCAACACCCGTGTTGTACACGTGTATTGTACTAGTGTAGTTTTACACACAAAAACAAAGGCAAAATTAGAGGGGGCACTAGCAAGATCTTATGTGTGTTCAATTTTGACTAAATAATTTTTTTTTAACTCAATATCTAAATCAAATTTAACCTAGTCAATATTATTATCAATATAAATCATACAAATTAATGATTTTCACATATCAAATCAACTTTAATTCAATATTCATTCAACTATATTACTAACTACCCACCACTTCGAATCGTATCTCTCATACATTTACATCTAATCAACTTTCATAATTATATTTTAAATATTATAATTATACGAACTCAAATCCTACTCAAACCTAACAGAGTCAACATTTTCAAAATTAACTCCGATTATTCAACAAATCTAATCAAAATCAAAATAACTTATGCTCAGTCACCCATAAGTGTTGGCGTAAAACATCATGAATAAACAATGGCAACGGTGATTTTAATCAAATAACGAATACAATGATTTTCGACACAAAACTTGCAGTTTTCGAATAAAGTATTCACAAAAATAAATAAAGTCAAGGCACCAAACTTGCAGTTTTTGACAAATATTTTTAACAAGGTACAATGATTTTTATTATATGAATAGTGACACTTTAAATACACTGAGTAATTATTTATGAGTTATATTAGTTTTAATTTGCTTTTAGTTTACAAGTACAAAAGTTTGAGTAATTAATTTATCATCGGTCAAATACTGTAATATTTTCCAATTTAAAATAAAACAAAATAAAATAATAACTACCCGCCCCCAGTTGTTGTCTCATATTACATAGTAACCCCACATTTATTTATCTCTCCTCCACGTACCCAAAATTTCTCATTTAACGCTTCCACAAAGACGAGAGACCCAATAAAATCTCCAGCTTCCCTGCCACCAAAATAAAATAAAAATAAAAAATTCCCACCGGCGGCGATATGCAGGACCTCCACCGTTACAGCGCAGCGGCGGAAGCCGGCGTTCGCCTCGAGCTGACACCGAGCACCGTCTCCCCCCTCTCCCTGGACATCTCCGAGTCCACAGAGATGCGAATCCGCCGCCTTGTCTCCGAGAACCCCGTCGTCATCTTCAGCCGCGCCGCCTGCTGCATGTGCCACGTCATGAAACGCCTCCTCGCCACCGTCGGCGTCCACCCCACCGTCATCGAGCTCGAGGAGGACGAGATCGCAGCGCTCGGGGAGCCGCCGGAGGCCTCCGGCGACGGCGCGTGCGCAGCACCCGCGCTGTACATCGGCGGCGCGTGGGTCGGCGGCTTGGAGAGCCTGGTGGCGCTGCACCTGAGCAACAACCTCGTGCCCAAGCTTGTCCAAGTGGGTGCCCTCAGAAATCATGAATTTCTAATTAATTAGATGAATTTATTTGTTTTCAGTCAGTAAAAAAAAAATGATAATAAAGATAATATTAATTATAATTATTTATTTTTATAGTTTTAATTAGTGATGATTGAATATCTATGTAAGTCGATATTGTAATTTTAGTTCATGAAAAAAAAAAACGAAAAAAAAAAGTGTTGGGAAAGGAAAGAAAATAATTGTATTTTTTTCCTTGTGTTTTCATGGTAAAGCTTGTGAATAAGTTTGTAATTTTTATTGAATTTCGTAATTTCGATTCTTGGATAAATGTTTTTAGTATAAGTTTGTGGACTACTTATATATTGCGGAAAAATATTTGCAGGACGAATATGAAAACTTAGTTAATTTCTTTATTTATTTTCCTTATCACCCGCCGTTTATTTTTCAGTGATTTTTCTTCGTACCCTTGAATATAATTTGGATTATTTTATTTTTGTTATTTCTTGCAAGAACTCTTTTATCATTTTTTTTATTACGTTGTGGTCAATTCTTCTCAATGAAAGGTGTTGCAGTATCACATGTGAGTTGTCACACGTTGATTATATAGTAAATTTATGGTCTAACTTATATATCTAGTGGGCCACTCCTTTGAAATGGAATCTCTATGGTACATTTATATCCACCCTCTTATGGTGTGCTTCATCTACGTGGGACCGCAGAGCCGGACCATCTCCAGCTTAGGCCTCTATCTCTACCCAGCCTGTTCTAGGCTTGAGCTTATGAGAGACTCGCAAGTGAGAGGTTTTTTTTTTTAAGAACTCGTTAAATTGTACTTTCATTCATCTGTTGCTTTTGATAAGAAGTTAGAAAATATATGATTTCTTGTATTAACACATGGATATGAAATAAGATGGGCCTCCATTCGGCTGGGCCTAAAAACCTAACTCTATAATACATAATACGACAATTATAACTAATACTCCTCCCCCCTCTCCCCTCCCCCCTCAAACTCAAGATGGTATAGTGGAGATCAACTTGAGTTTGCTAAAAAGTAAACAAAAGCGACCGGGAAGAAGGGACTTCATGAAGACATCCGCTGTTTGATGTGTAGAGGAGACTGGAACAAGTTGCATAGTCCCATTGGCGACATATTGTCGAATGAAGTGACAGTTAATCTAAATATGCTTGGTGCGCTCGTGAAAGGTATCATCATGAGACATTTTAATAGTACTCTGACTATCACAATGTAGAACAGTAGACGACGACTGAGGTGCACCAAAATCAACAAGTAGTCGACGCAGTCATAATAGCTCTGAGATGGAATCAGTAAGAGCACGATACTCAAACTCAGCACTCGATCTGAAAACTAATGTTTGCTTCATACTACACCAAGAGAAGAGTGAATCACCCAGAAAGAAGTAGTACCCAGTAATAGAACGACGATCAATAGGATCTCCAGCCCAATATGCATCAGAAGTTTTACAAGATGTTCTTTTGCAACCGCTTTTCTGTGCTTTCCGTATTTCATTGGACAACTCTTCTGCTTTTCATTCTCTTTGTCACCAGTCCATGCAGGTCTCTTTCAGTCCACACGGTCTAATAGATCTCTCAAAGACTTTTTTCTTGAATATCATTCAAAAAAATTTCGGATTGACCAGCATTTGACCAATTAGAAACCCAAGATTCCATACTTTTAGTAAATGATAGAGAAATCCACCAGGGCAAAAAATAGCCGCTTAGTGTCGAGGAAGAACGAGCCGAGAAGTGTAAACCATGCAAGAGTGTCATTCACATAGCGAAAGATGTGCAATACAACAGAGTTATGTGTGGTTCTCGGAGCAGCCGTAAACTGACTCACAATAAACATCATGACCTATATCAGGTCGAGTGATAGTCAAATATATCAAATTCCCAACAAGCTGACGATAAAATGTAGGATCCTCAAGAAGAGAGTCGTCAACTGGAGTAAGATGAACATAATAATCAAGAGGTGTGGAAGTTGTCTGACAATGAGTGAGACCGGCCCGAGCAAGAAGATCAGAGGCATACTTGACTTGAAACAAATAGAAGCCAACAGAGCAATCAGAGATCTAAAGACCCAAAAAATAGCGAATATGGCCCAAACTCTTCATCTCAAAACGTTGACGAAGATAGTTATGTAAATCGACAATATCGGTAACATAATCTCTCGTGATGATCATAACATCAAAATAGAGCAGCAAAATGATGATCCCAGATGAGGAGCGCCGAAGAAACACAGCGGAATCGTGACACTCGTAGTGAAACTAAAACTGAAACAATGCAAAAGTGAACGTGACATACCAGACACGAGACGCTTGTTTCAAACCATACAAAGTTTGACGTAGATGACAAACCTTTCCAGATGACAAGGACCCTAGAGGAGGAGTCATGTAAACCTCCTCAGATAAGGCACCATGCAAGAATATATTCATGACATCTAACTGTAGAAGAGACCATAGACGAACAACAACAACTGCAAGTAAACATCGAACAGTAGTATGACAAGCAACATGTGCAAAGGTCTCTTCGTAATCTATGTCATACTCATGTGAGTAACCCTTAGCAACTGGACGAGCTTTGTAACGTTGAATGGATCTATCTGAATTTGTCTTAATCTTATAAACCCATTTACATCCGTTAAGAGTCTTGCCAGTAGATAAATCCACCAAATCCTAAATATGAGTCTATCCAACGCCTGCAATTCTCAGTCATAGCTTGTTGACACAATGTATCAGCACTCGCCTCACGAAAAGGCTTAGGCTCATGATGAGACAGTATTCACGACTAGAGGTGACCTGAATTTTTGTGATTACTGGAAAAAGAAAAAAAAAATAAAATTTAGTAAATAATTTATTACAAGAGGACATTCATGATTTGTGAAATTAAAAAGCGATAAAAATATAAAAAAATAAAGAGAGAATTTGTAACTGTTAGATCAACTATTCATGACGATTACATGATGATCTAATAGCTACAAATCCCGACGGAATGGTTCCGTAACGGGACTGTATCATTTCCTTAAAAATATTAATTAATTCATAGCAATTTGTACGTAACTCGTAAGTTCATGAATAATATCTCCACAGTTATGGAGGAATATTCTTGATCAGCTTGTTAATATTTTTGTTTACAAAATTATTGATTTTTTATAAGACTAATTGCCGGGTCACAAAATTACTTGAGATACACTTTATTTGTGATCCCCATCGTCATGAAGTGGTAAACAACCTTTTTGACTGCCAAATAGTGAGTTATGATTTTCTTTAATAATTAATAAATTTCATTATTTTATTTTTATTTATTGTGCAATAATAATAATAATAAAATGTCCTACATGTGGCTGTCATCCACTTTTTCCTCTTTGATACTCAGCTTAGTGACTGATGATGCTATGTCCACGGCTGCTTTGGACATGGTTAATTTGTTCTTCTTTTCTCTTTTATTCTGTTTTCTTGTTCAAATATAGGCATGTCACTGGCCGAACCGGTCCAGGAACAGGTCCTGGCCCGACACGAACCGGCCCCATAAGGGCCAGTTCGTTGAACCGGATTCGTAGGGCCGCGGTTCGATCCCGGTTCAAATATTTCTTTTTTTGGTCCTGTCAGGTCAGACCGGGCCGGACCGAACCGTGGGTCGGTCGGCGAGACACTAATTGCTTTTTTTTGGAGGGCAGTGAACCGGCCCATATAAAAAGAGCGGGCTGGTCATGGGTCATGACATTGAGGCCGCCGACCCGGCGGGCCGGGCCGGGCTAGGCCGCGGCCCGACAATTGGCCATATCTATTCAAATCTATATATGTATAATTGTTAGCATTTCGTTTAATTTAACCTAATAAATTTTATCTAATTGGCAAACTTTCCTTACACAACAAAGGAATGTTACTTATTACATTACAAGAATATGACGAAATTTCAATGAAATCGGTACAAATTATTTTTTTTTTAACGTTATAACAAACTAGAATTTATTCCTAAACAACATAGTTAGCAAATCCAAGAAATTAAAGAGCAATTATCTTATTGACTCATTGCTACAATTTTTAATTTTTTTTAGCCAACCACGATATGCAAAGCTTTGCAAAAAGTCATTTCACTAAATAATGAGGCCACCTGCAATTTGATATCTACCACATAATTCCAAATATTAGAATCAGAACTCAAACAACTTTGTTTATGCACAACAATTTGTATATAAGAGTGTATATATTAAAAGGGATTAGTGAGGTTAATGCTAGGCAGACTTAAAAGTTAGCCAGTATATTTTTTCAACAAATATGCATATTTTTAAATCAAAACGTCATACTCGATAAAATAATATAATCAAATAAAATTATGACATTTGATAGCATAAATATATTTTTTTATGAAAAAAATAAATAACGGGTCGACTCGTTTGACGGTTACATCGCCTCACCCAATAATTTCACAAAAGTGTATAGTAGATAATAATAACAAAAGAATAATTACAAAATGCAGAGCCCAAGAATAGGAACAATGAAAGGGAACATAGCAAAGTCCATTATGGGAGAAGCAGATCAACTCCACTTTCATGTCAACTGGGCCCAAAGCCTATTTATCATCATCACCTCACCATTTACAATAGTAACAAATAACAATTATTATTATATTTTCTGTTAACCCTATTTATTTATTTATTTATTTTTTTATCTTGCCTTTTCCTTTGAATTTGGAATAGACATGTCCATTTAAGAATCTCAAAAACTGTTCATAAAATTTGATCTTTTTTTAGGGAAATGCTATGGTTTCGTTAAGGAATCATTCTGTCGTGGTTTGTAACCGTTAGATCAACAATCCCTGATGGTTACATGATGATCTAACGATTACAAACCTTTACGAAATGATCCCGTAATGGACCGTAGTATCTCTTTTTTTTTTTTTTTTCTTTCTTTCCTTTTGATGAAAATCACATATGGCAGCCACTTTATTTTTTTTATTTTATATATATATATATATATTTTGAACAAAATAGCAGCCACTTTATAATTAAGCAACAAATCACAAAATTAGTGGGGTCC